ACCCCCCAAGCACTCAGCAAGGGTTATTCGACTCCGGTGTGATCGAGATATGACTTTGACGTAAGAACTTTGACTTTCGGAGATTAACTATCAAAGTACAGCATGTCTTCAATTGAGACATTCAATTCCATCTTTGCGTGAAAATGTGGCGTTGGGGTTTTTTTTTCTTTTCATTCGCAGTCCTTATTTTGTACCTGAGAAAAATGTCTTTAGAAATTCTATACCTAAAACATTTCAGTTTCAAAGTCAAGAAACTCTGATAAAATTGCAATCGGTTTCTTTTTTATATTCCATACCTGGGAAAATACAACCTCTTTTTCTCTAAGTAGACGTTGAGAAAATTCAGCTTTTTTTTTGTCAATCTACACTAAAGAAAAGACAACTGGGAAAATACAGCCTCTATTTTATTCAATACCTACGAAAATTCAGCTTTTTTTCAAAATACAGCTTATTTTTTGCATTCTGTACCTGGGAAAATTCAGCTTCTTTTTTATCCAAGACTTTTACCCAGCTTTTTCTTTTTTAATATACAGCTTATTCACTCAATCCCTACCTGGGAAAGTACAGCCACTTTTTCTCTATACCTACAAAAACAAAGCTTTTTTTTTCAATACAGGCCTACAGCTTATTAAACTCACTCCCTACCTGGGAAAATACAGCCTCTTTTTTACTAAAGAAAATTAAACTTTTTTTTCAATACACAGATTATTTCACTCTGTCCCTACCTGGGAAAGCAGAGCCTCTTTTTCTCCAAGTAGGCATTCAATAAAATCAGCTTCTTTTTTACCTAAGAAAATTCAGCGCTCTTTTTTTCAATATACAGCTTATTTTCCTCAATCCCTACCTGGGAAAGTACAGCCTCTTTTTCATTTTCTTTTACAATCTAATCTGAAGGAGATATAGTCAACCTATTTTTCTTTTTATTTCACACCTGGGAAAGTACAGCCTCTTTTTTTCGCTATACCTACAAAAATTCAGCTCTTTTTTTTCAAAATACAGATTAATTGACTCAATCCGCATCTGGGAAAGTAGAGCCTCTTTTTCTCCCAGCAGGCATTGAAAAAATTCAGCTTGTTTTTTACCTAAGAAAATTCAGCTTTTTAGAAAATAAACAGCTTATTTGACTCAATCCCAGCCTGGGAAAGTACAGCCTCTTTTTCTCCAAGTATACATTCAGTTTCTTGTACAATCTAATCTGAAGAAGACATAGCCAGCCTATTTTTATTTTTATTCCACAGCCTCTTTTTCTCTCAATAAGAATTCAGTTTCTTTCAAATCTAATCTGAAGGAGATATAGCCAGCTTATTTTTCTGTTTATTTCACACCTGGGAAAGTACAGCCTGTTTTTCTCCAAGTAAGTATTGAGAAAATTCAGCTTCTCTTTTACCTAAAAAAATTCAGCTTTATTCCTCAAACAGCTTATTTTCCTCAATCCCTACCAAGGCAAGTACAGCCTCTTTTTTACTCTACAAAAAATTCAACTTTTTAAAAAATATACACACATTTTTCTTATCCTATACCTCCTTTTTACATCATGTCTAAGAAAATGCAGATTTTTTCTCAATGACAATTTAGTTTCTTTAATAAAATCTAATCTGAATGAGACATAGCCAGCCTATTTATTTTCTTTTTATTACACACCTGGGAAAGTACGGCCTCTTTTTTTTTCTCTATAGCTATGAAAATTCAGCTTTTTAAAAAAAGCTTATTTGACTCAATCCGTACCTGGGAAAGTACAGCCTCTTTTTCTCCAGGTATGCGTTGAGCCCTTTGTTGATCTTCTCCAGCAGCACGTTGCTGTCAATCAGTTTGTCCAACACACCGGGCACGCTACACGCCTCCAGCACCTACACACGCAACACACACAGACGACACGAAGGAAAAACTGTGCTGAGCGATATTGTGTGGTTTACATGAAAATTAAGACATTAAATAATGTATGAATAATAGCAACATTGAAATATTATACAGTCCGTGCCGGCTTTAAGCACGCCGGCCTTAAACACGTTTCGGACTCAAGCACGCTAAACGGCTCTTACCGAATATTTGCTATATGAATTACACGCCTTTAAGCTAGGTAACTTCGACTTCAAGCACGCTTCATTTACAAGACAGTTAATATTTTCATGATGACGCACCGAAGTTCGAATCAGTTTACATCGCAGCAGTGCAGTGTGTCAAGAGAAACACAAAGAACGCAAGTGATCGACACACACACTCACACGGGCGGAGAGGAAGGCAGAGAGATGCACAGTGCGCGCGGACATAGGATCTAGCCTAGGCCTAGGGCAAAGCTACACACGACCCCAAAAAAAAAATACAAAGAGAGTCGGGGAGACGAGAAAGGGAGGCTGGCTGCGATTTCACCTTTGACCCTCGCTATCCTGTAATCCTGATTGTGTATCACGCGCGAGGTGGGATGAAGGCGGTGGTATGAGTGGCACAGCGGGGAGTGGTACGCACAGGCAGTGTGTTACAGTAGGCCTAGTGTGCTGTGTCGTGACTGGCCGTCTAAATTAAGTTTTCATTTCCCAAAACAAACAAGCGACCAAAAACTCCCATGGCGGGTGTCTAAATAACAGTGCACGCTTTTGCGGGACCGCTATAGGCCTAGTTACAAACAAAGGGAAATAGCACGGGGAATTTTCAACATGAAAATCTCTGGATTATGTCTACTTCGCACTTAAGCAAGCTTCGGCTTTAAGCACGCTTAAGCTTTCTCCCGATGACCGTGCTTAAAGCCGGCATGGACTGTATTAAATAATATGTGAGTTATAGGAAAGTTAAAATATTTCTAAATGCCGGAAAAAAATTAGAATTAAGATGTACTACATGCTATAATATAATATTTCAATGCTGCATTGAAAATATCAAGTAATCTGTGATTGATAGCAAAATCCACACACAAAAGTATTTTAATACACCTCACTCACAAAAGTGTTTTTAACACCTTACTCAGGTAAGGTTTTTTTTTAGCTCATTTCATTCACGTAAGGGTTTTTAACACCTTACTCAGGTAATGTTTTTTTTAGCTCATTTCATTCACGTAAGGGTTTTTAACACCTTACTCAGGTAATGGTTTTTTTTAGCTCATTTCATTCACATAAGGGTTTTTAACACACCTCACTCGTGTAAGGGTTCTTAACACACTTGACTCACGTAAGGGTTTTTGGCGCACTTGGACATGACGTCCTTGAAGTTTCGGTCGACCATGGCGAAAAGTTTGCCCTCCTCTGGCATCTGGTGGTTGATGTCCTCGGAGGAGAAGATGGGCTGTAGGTACATCCACTGGGCCTGCATCTTGAGCCACTCATCGATGGCTGATTGGGTGAGGAGAAGCTGATCCTCCCAGTGCTGGGGCAGAGAGAGAGAGAGAGAGTTAGTCAGAGAGAGTGAGAGAGAGAGAGAGTGAGGGAGTCAGAGAGAGAGAGAGAGAGAGTGAGGGAGTCATAGAGAGAGAGAGAGAGAGAGAGAGAGAGAGAGAGAGAGAGAGAGAGAGAGAGAGAGAGAGAGAGTGAGAGAGAGAGAAAGAGAGAGAAGATGTCAACATACTGAATACTGGGTGAGGAGAAGCTGATCCTCGCAGTGTTAGATGAATGGTGGTGCATGGAGAGAGTTTAGTTTTAGTAAGGTTATTATCCTCATTATTATTATTATTATTATCATTATTATTATTATTATTAATTTATTATTAATTATTATTATTATTATTAATTTATTATTAATTATTATTATTATTATTATTATTAATTTATTATTAATTATTATTATTATTATTATTATTATTATTATTATTATTAATATTATTATTATTATTATTATTATTAATTTATTATTATTATTATTATTATTATTATTATTATTATTATTATTATCCAATGTGTCAAATGGGCAAGGTGTAGTTGCTTTTACCTTGATGGCCTCCTCAAAGGGTTTGACAAACGGCGAGTTCCTCATGGTCTGGGTCTTCACGATGTGGTCGTCCAGCAGCGTCTGGATGTCATCCACGGATCCAAGCACACAGATATCCGTGTCTCTGAAAGTGTGGGGCAGAGAGAGAGAGAGAGAGAGTGCAAAAGTTCCGACAGAGCTGAGCACTGACACAGTGATGATCACACAGAGAAGGGGTAAAAAAGCTTTAGAAAGGCTCAAAATACAGATTGATAGGACGTCTTCTAGACTCGTGACTTTAACATTGCAGGTTCATCTTTTCCATGAACACATTTAATTTGGAAATGGATACCAATCTGGGCAGAATTATAACATTGGGAAATGGATTCCAATCTGGAAAGTTTTTCAAATCTAGAAATTAAAAGCAATCTGGAGATAGTGAAAAAAAATCTAGAAATAGATACCAATCTTGAGAGAGTTTATAAAATCTGGAAGTGGATACCAATCTAGGGAGAGTTTATAAAATTTAGAAATGGGAGCCAATCGAAAACGAGTTAAACAGCTGAGCATTAGACACGGATGTTGCAAGAGCTTTCATTGTTTCATTGTTTCAGGAAGCAACATCCCTGCGAGAGCTAAAATGTCTAACATTGGATATTGATCGGGAAAGTACAAAAAGTCAAACTTTGAATATCAATCTGGAAAGTATGAAAAAGTCCAACTTTGAATATCAATCTGGAAAGTATGAAAAAGTCAAACTTTGAATATCAATCTGGAAAGTATGAAAAAGTCAAACTTTGAATATCAATCTGGAAAGTATGAAAAAGTCAAACTTTGAATATCAATCTGGAAAGTATGAAAAAGTCAAACTTTGAATATCAATCTGGAAAGTATGAAAAAGTCAAACTTTGAATATCAATCTGGAAAGTATGAAAAAGTCAAACTTTGAATATCAATCTGGAAAGTATGAAAAAGTCAAACTTTGAATATCAATCTGGAAAGTATGAAAAAGTCAAACTTTGAATATCAATCTGGAAAGTATGAAAAAGTCAAACTTTGAATATCAATCTGGAAAGTATGAAAAAGTCAAACTTTGAATATCAATCTGGAAGGTATGAAAAAGTCAAACATTAAATGTTAATCTGGAAAGAGTTAAAAACATCCAACTGACAGACCACACGACAAACCAGGGGCTTCACGTACCTGTGGGAGTTGAGAGTGAACACCACATCAGCCCACTCAGCCTCCATCTTGTGGAAGGCTTTTTCCAGGGAGTATTCCTGTCAATGAGAGAGGAGGTGAGAGGGAGGGAGGGAGAGAGAGGGGGGAGAGGGGGTGAGAGGGAGAGAAAGATATATATATATATATATATATATATATAGAGAGAGAGAGAGAGAGAGAGAGAGAGAGAGAGAAAAGGAGTGTGAGAGGGAGAGAGAGAGAAGGAGTGTGAGAGGGAGAGAGGGGGGGAGGGAGAGAGAGAGACATGCTCATGATCTTTATGCAGGGTACAGCTGTTTTTCAATCTCTGCACACAACGAACATTTCTTTTTTTTCCAGGAGAGAGTGGGATGAAAAGGAGAACGGGGACAAGGAGGCAGGGAAGGAGAAGGGGACAAACAGAAAGAGGGAAGGAAAGAAGGAGGGAAGGAAAGGGTCTGATTATCCAATAAAATGTCCAAGAAAAGCTCAAAGCATATGCCCTTTAATTTTATATTCTTGCACAGTCCTCTGTCAGTCCCCTGTTTTACAGCTTATGTTGCATTGTGACCTATCATGGACGTGCTGGAAAAAAGACAACCTCAAATTTCTTAACAGATCATGTTATACTTTTATGATAATCACAACAATTAAAGCTACCAAAATGAAAATTCCATGAAAACAATCACTAAAGCCATCTGTTCCAGATGTGACATGTGAAGCATAAAGATATCAAAATCTTTTTATTCTCTTCACACCCAATTAATGAAACAGCTCAGCTTCAGCAAAAAGGGAGGTCGGGGGTTCAGGGGGG